AATAATTTTAAATAATTATATAGGAAATACTTATAAACATGCATTCAGACGTATTTCCAAACTATTTAATTGCCAAATCAGTAAACATAATTTTTAATTTATTAAATATTCCTTTATGTGTCACTACATGAATTCACACAGTTGCCTATCAATTTGATTTCTCAACATTTCGTTTTAAATAACTGCAAAACTGTACTTGCTTTTTGGAGAGAGTGGGAGGGTACTTTCTGGGAAATATTGCACTTATATTTTTCTTTGCTAACAACTGAAAATTCAGCATGATTAGCAACACATTTTGATGCAGATAATGGTTTTCCATGTAACTCTAACCAAATGAAAAATGAAGCCAAAGAAATAATACAGATCGCAAAAGCAGCTAATGATGAATGATTTTCTGATATGGAAATGTTAAAGAATTAATCAAGAAATGATGATTGAAAAATTGGATGATCTTCTTATAACACCAGCTGACAGTAAAGCAGCAATAATGAAGAAGATAGTGTGCATTTAACTAACAAGAAGTTAAATGAATTTCTAAAAAAGGCACAGAAACTGTCAGATTTTGCAGTGGAGACTAAGCCAAAGGAAGAAAGAAGAAAACATTTTATGAAAGGCATTGAAAAAATTCTGTGTTCCTTCATATAAAACTTGTAAAGAGTTGCATCAGACATTGAAAAAAGCAAAAATCACTAGCTTTTTCAAAACATAATTGTATCACATACTCATAAGCAGAAATAAAAATCTTTTCAATTAACATTTTTTCATTTTTTTCTTTTCATTACATTTCATTTTCATTCATTTTTTCATTTTCTTTTCATTATTTAAATAAAATTATACATGCTTTCTTATATATAAATTATACATGCATCTCTGCAGGATGTGATTTTGATAGTTGCATAATGTAATAATGATGCGACTCTGTATTCAGCAAGGGCTTACTGTATACATTTTTACAAGCAAAAATAACCAGTCTATTTCTGTTTCCTTTCTAGACTTGAAATTTAAACATGCAAATCTAAAAAATACAGAACATTTAAGGGCCCTTTAAGGCCTTGGGTCCCTATGCAGCAGTATTCCTTGCAGACCACTATTTATGCCACTGTAACTGTAAAGTGGTCACCTAAGATTTTTTTTCCATACTTAGTCCCCTTTGCATACCACACTGATCACAGCATGGCACTAAACCTAGACTACATTTCTGAACATTAAAAAAAAAAAAAAAAAAAAAAAAAAAAAATTGATAATACCAAAAATCATTTTAAGAGTTTCATAATGTATCAGCTTTAATATTTTCAATTTACAAAGGCCATTTCAGAAGTTTCCTGTATATTTTGGTATTTTAATTGTATGCAATATAAAGGACAAAAAGATACTTATATGGTAGGTGATAGTGAACATGAGATATATAAACAAGCCAAAAATAGGAATAATTTCACAAACAATTTGATAATTAGTGAAGTATTTAGAGTTTTTAATAATAAGGATTGTCTAATTCAAATGTGTTTGAAGGGCAGAAAGACACATTTTCAGTTTAGGGGAAAGTAGTATTCCCCCCAAAAAAGAGCTAATATTGTACTTAATAATGTTCACGAATCAAGAATATAAAACACATTTAATTTGAAAAATCAACAAATCAAATTGCAGAATGAAGGAAAAATGAATGGAATCTATAAATAGTATGCAAATATACCATATTTAATAATAATTAAAAAAGGACTTTTTAAAATATAAGAAAATTTTCTTATATTTTTCCTTTAAAATTTGGTAGGATCTTATAAATGAGTATTTTGATAAATGAAACTGCAGAATGAGAAAAAGTTGTTTAATATAATAATGCTACCTAAAATGCAACACTATTTAAACACTAAATAAACCACACAGGTAATTACTGTATAGATAAATTACATATGTACCTTTAATTATATTAGCCATGTCTAGTTCAACGATTTCAATTTAAACTGCATTTACTATAATGGTATACCTGAAAACAAGTAGTTAATAATATATCACTAATTTTTCTTCTTATACTGTAGTAAAATATTATATATAGACACTCCCTACCTATGACCGAGTAGCATTCCAGATGACTGTTTGCAGCATAAACTTGCTCATAAAGTATTACTAAGTTCGCTGCACATATCTCCTAATGATATTTATGAGATAAGAACTTTAAATACTATTGTGCTTAGAGGTTTGTAATAGACTGAATGCACACAGAACCGATAATAGCTTGATAAAATTTATTTTATGAAAAAAAAAACACTTTACAGCTCTAGAATTTTTCATAAATATACTCATAAAGAAGTTAACAGTATCACAGTACAATCAGTAGTTATACTTCAAACTAACAACCAGTAATAGTTATACTTCAAACTACTAAGACTGTTAACACAGGACAAGCTCACATGGAAATAATCTCAATACTCGACTCTGAACTAAAAATTGAGAAACTTATATTCTCTCCAGTCTTATAAAGTTTACCCGCAGCTGCTGAGAAATCTCTAGTATCTTCCACTTCTCAAAATTACTGGAAGCATAAAAGGGCCGCATATGATTAAAATTACATATAGGCATTAATTACATTTATTCAGTCACAACAATGTTGCCAAATGGGCACCAGGTTTGGCATCTTTTGTCAAATTCTTGCCAAATTTGGCGGCACACATTAGTCACCAAAAGCATCACCATCTTGGTAATATCTCGCCAATTTAGCAAAATATCCATTAACTCAATGTTAAACAGACTTGCTTCCGGTAATTTATTTTTCCAGCACAGCATTGTATTCTTCAAGCATTTCATGTTACATTAGACAAAAAAAAAAAAAAAAAAAAAAAACTATAAATTTATACATAATTTAACTAATTACTTACCTATGTACAAAGTTAATAAATATACTTTGAAATAAACAACAGAAATACCTAAAACAAATGAATAATACATTCTTAAATTTTAAATACCATAATAAATAAAAAATTCTAAATCAATTAAAAATTGTTTTACTATGCAGTATGTATACTGTGCAAATAAATAAATAAAAGGACAGTTTTATATCTCCCGTTCTACTGGGCTGGGCCGATTGACAAAATTCAACTTGTGGTTTTCATGGCTCGAAAGTGCTACTTAGGATATATATTAGATTTATATATAGCATTGTTCTAACATAGGTATGTTAACACAAAATCTTTTTCTGAAATAATATACCTATTGTTTTCCATATTTCGTTTCTACAACTCAAATGATGCCAAAGTGCCAAGATTTGTAAAAAATCCAATGAGTAGCTTTTAAAAAATTAGCTCTCAAAACCTTAGCTCCTTTATGTTAATTGAATTCGGTATATATTTATTAATATCTTTTTATTAACCTTTTGAAGACGGGATGGCCATTATAGTGGTCATAGAGTCCTCTCTTTGAAAAGACGGGATTGTCCACTTTAGTGGCTATGTCTTTTTCCTCCATTTTCCAGGCTGAAAAGTGGGGTAAAATGTCAAATTTGACGTCCCTAGGGTTTTAACCACTCATCTCTTTGAAAGGTCTTCTTTTTGCACCCCATAGATGCACCCCTCTGAGAATTCATTAAACTACACACAAGAATCTTTGTTGCAAATAGGAGGTGATTTCTTAAAGGGGAAATAGCATTCGGTTCAAGATTCAACATCCTTTGGTAGCTTTTACTGCTAACAAAGCCCCGGCCTCAAAAGGTTAAACTTATTTGATTCTTCCTATTACCTTTTGAAATTTAGATTCATTCCAAATAAATTTGTTCATTTTTTATGACTTATTTTTTAATTCGTATTTTTAAATATTTTCTATAAATTTTTCAAAAAACATTTTGTATTATAACTTATAAAAACTTTTAACATCAACTTAAAGTAGATGAATTCTTAAGCACACCTGCAAAAAATTAGAGTTTTTTTATTCAAAATTTCCTGAGCTATATGTGAATTTACATACTGGCACATTTTGAAATTTGGCATATTTGTTATAAGCAATAATAACACCAAATGTGGTTTACACACTTTCGAGACAAGAAAAATGTAATTTGAATTTCGTCAATCGGCCCAGTAGAACGGGAGATAATGAACATCCTTTTTTTTTTTTTTTTTTTTTCCTTCATTTTTTTGCATAGTGTACCTTGGATTGCTGTCTTCGCAGATGGTGTGAGGATGAGATTTCACAGATCTTTACATGGGTGGTGGTAAATCAGTGTATGATTTGCCCACTGAAGATTCATTAGCAAGTAAATGGGGCATTTGTGATGGAGAGGCTATATGAGAGGTCGAAGGAATTGCATGTTAGATGGGTCTGCAACACTGACTTCTGAAATGTTTCTCTAATGAAAATAAGAGTTTAAACTTTTCTGAATAAGTTTTCTTTTTCTTTCATCGACAATAAGATGACAGCAGTGTATGGCATTGTGCACAGCAGGCTTTAGAAAACCACTGAGAATTTGAGTCTCGGTTTTTGCTAAAAAGGTGAAGCTCTGAACTCTTCAACTTCAGCTCTTTGAGAGCAGGTGTGATCATAGGATGGGAAGCATCCGTATTTAGTTAGGTAACTTACCTTTCAATCTAATCAGACTTGTACTCTCATCAAATATTCACCTACATTTTTATTTCATTAAGTCTATCTTAAAATGTTAGGTGAAGCTTATTTTACCAATGCCTTATTTTTGAGTAAATACAATACTAACCCTCTGAGCAGCCAGGGTTTTCGCTGAGAAAGCACATATTTCCCAAAACTACTATAGGAACAATTTTTTTTTTTAAAATTTTTTTATTTTAATGTAAAAAACTCTCCTGGTTTTTCTTACCTGGATTTGTGTACTTTTGATACATTGCTTTAACTTCTTTGACATATTTTAATATGCACATATATATACACGTTCTTACAGATATCACAAAAAATATTCTAAGCTGTATATATACAGCCTTGCCGATTAGAGGGCTAATATAGGTTGAGAATTTAAAGCAAATAACTCAACAAATATAAGTAATAATCACTTTTCAATTTATTATTCCTCTCTTGTGCTTCATTCCTCTTTTTAGTCCAAATATTCTTCAACTGCTGCTGATGTTTCTGTGACTGCTTTTTTATTTCCTCAGCTAAAGCTGTCTGCATAATTTTCAGCCTTTCAATCTGTGATTGATTTTCCATCTAGGGGGATGAAAAAAGTTGGGGTACTTTTTTATTACCTAATTGATTATTTATACTCTAAAATTATGTTAAAATTAAAGCTGTTTAATGCCATAAAAAGAGAAAGTACATTGCCCTTTGTTTATACAGAGTTTTCTTTTTAATCTTCCTACTGAATAATGTTGATTAAAAAAAGGCCTACTCATTTCATTTCTGAAGTCGTTCTGTAAGTAGTTTCTGAAGACATATCCATGCACTTAACATTTATTTCATTCTGGAATTTTATTTACGAAAGGTGAGACAACTTTTGATCTCTTACCATCAAATGTAGCATAAAAGTCAATAAGTGCAGGCTTATAATAAAGAACTTAAAATTCTTGACAGTTAACAATACACAAATAGTATTGTATTTAAATTCTAAATCTTAAAAAGTACAAACTGATTGGACTAGTTTTAGATAAAAAAAAAACATAGTCAAGTGAAAGAGAAAAAATTCCATTATCAATTCTATACAGAATAGTTCTCAAGATATGTTCAAAAGGGAAAAGTTGCTGAAGCACAATTTATAGCAGGCTTCAACAACCTATGATCCACGGGTTACCAAATGATTCATTTCATAATTTCAAATGACCCACATGAGTTCCAAAAATAAAGCATAATATATCATAAAATATAAATATGAAATATTTATTTTTTCTGCATTTTGAAGAATACACAAAAAAGTAAGCTTAAAATAAACGATAATTATAATATTTTTATTTCACTACAAAGTTGCAGTAGTAAACATACACTAAAAAAAATTGTTACATAATTTCAAGCAGAAATCAATAAGTCTGGCAATGCCAATCTATAACCATAATTTAAAAAAACTGGCTTTGCCATTTTGTCCACATTTGGTTCAACTTATAAATATGAGCAAATATCTTCACACGTGAAATTTTAAGTAAAAACAGCAGCAGCTTAATTACTAAAAACTCAGATGCTTGAATGTGTCTTAAGATGACTAATTTGAAGTCACGAGTTCAGCATCAGGGAAAACCCTTGATATCCAAGATAAATATAAAGTTCAATCAGTTATGCCTTTTTTATAATAATTAGAATATTAATTTTTAAGTTTTATGTTTAAACTGTATTGTAATTATTTTCTCAAAATTATCTTATTACTCACCAGAAAAGACTGTCTTAAAATGAAAATATCACTGACCCAAAATGTCCTCTCAATATATAGATTTTGGTTGATTTTGAACCACAACCAAAAAAGATTGCCCTCTGATTTATAGCATAAATAAAAAAGTGCCCAATGTGCTCTGATTCTAATATTTGAATCAGTTCTTATAAACACCTATTAGTCATCATTTATATTGATATTAGAAACATCTATACCTTAGTCTTTCCCTTTCTCAAACTGCTATTATTTTAAGTTGGGTTATGTTACCAGGACATTTATCATCCATGTGGCCAGACAAATACTGCCAATCTACACAGCATGAAACATGTAATTTTTAACCCTTTGAAGATTGCCAAAATCAGAAATAATAGTTTCCTTGTTATGTGCAATATTCCACCACAAGGCTATTAAAAAACAATATCTGTTTCTCTTTCAGTTGCTTTCTCAAATTGTACTGATTTTAAGTGTGATATTGTAAGAGTATCAGTACACAGTAATAGCATTTTACAGTAAAAATTATTATAGAATAAATTTTCTTTCCCCCCTTTTTTCTTTTCCTCCCCTTTAGCTTTTACTCATATATAGCTTTTAGTTGAATTTTTAGCTAGCACTTCCCTCAGTAAGTTAATATACCACTTGTAATATTAATATACACTAATGTTTGTGAAAATTGTAACACCATGAAGGAATTATGCAAATTGAACCAAACTTACAGGAAATGTAAAGTTAAGTAAGACATGCAAACAATTAGAATTACAAAGTGATTGCACATGCATGGAATGAGAATTGACTGCTTGTTCCATGTACATAAAGGGCTGTAAATTTGCACTGAAATCTTAATTGTCCTCTGTCTGTGGTGAATGTTTAATTAGTGGTCATTATTGCCTTGTCAACAGCAGAAGGTTCCACACCAACAACTAATGAAGTTCGAACAAGGTCACACCATCGGTATGCAAAAGGGGGACTATCGTATCAAGCAATCACAGCCCGCACATAGCATAATGCCACAACAATGCTGCGTGTTTGGAAGAAATGGACAGAGGAGAACCAACCAAGCTGAAATCCTAGCAGTGGGGCATGCAATAGTACAATGGCACAGGATTACAGACACCTCATTTGCATGACTGTGATGGATCATGCAACATCTTCTCATGTGTTAAAACAATGTTGGAGCACAACTACGGGTGTTGTGTTGTCCAGCACCATGTTTTGTTGCCGTTTGCTGCAGCATGTGTGTATGTGATTATGGCAAAGCCTTGAGGGCTATCTGCCTAAAGGGAGAGATGCCTTCGTGGAGGACTTTCATCACATGAAAGGACACGCATGAGAGGACACATGTGTTACCACAATGTTGGAGCATCCTGTCATGTGTTACCACAATGTTGGAGCACAACTACGGGTGTTGTGTTGTTTAGCACCATGTTTTGTTTCCGTTTGCTGCAGCATGTGTGTATGTGATTAAGGCAAAGCCTCGAGGGCTATCTGCCTAAAGTGAGGGATGCCTTCATGGAGGACTTTCTAAGGAAAACTGGCTCGTATACATGTTACACATGGCAAAAACCGCAAAAATGCTCATGCTGTCAGCCCGTTCACGGGATTCGAAACTCGGGCCAAACTACCAGTGTTCAGCGACTTTACCACTCGGCCGCTGGTTGGCTTGCTGCAGCATGAACTGAGTGCAAAAGTTCCTGTATGAATGATTCCCCTGTCGCTGAATCACAGATGCTTCTGACTTCAATGGTATGGCAACAAAGTGTTTGGCAATAAATTGTTTTCTCCAATGAATATTAAGACAATCTGGACTATAACAATGGAAAAGTATGCATCAAACATTACAGAGGGGGAACATCTGCTCTGAGTTATTCAGCGCCATACCGTACAAATGCCTGGCATCATGGTGTGGAGAGCTATTTGGGTATAATTGTTGATCCCTTCTAGCACAGATTGTGGGCAACCTCAACAGTGATTGCTACATTAGGGAAGCTGTGGAGCCAGAGGTATTCACCATTCTTTGACACATTTTGGACACTGTATTTCAACAGGATAGTGCTCATGTACATGTTTCTCATACCGCAGAACTTTCTTTAGGGTACAACAGGTTTCGTTTCTTCCATGGCCTGCTTATTCCCCAGATATGTTGCCCATTGAGCATGTTTGGGCTTTTAGTGGTCTGCGACTTGCTCATACAACTGATGGGACACACACGAAGACTGAACTTTGGCATCAAGTTGAAGCCATATGGAATGCTATTCCCCATGATGTGTGTAGGCTCTCATTGTTCAGCGTGGAGGACACACAGAGTACTGATTTCCAACAATTTTTTTCTTGTAAATTTGATCATTTATTTGTCCCGCTCTCAGTAATACATGGAATAAATTTCATTCATTTCTGACAATTCCTTCATGGTGTTGCATTTTTCACAAACATTGCTTCTTCTAAATCTATTTTCTAATCATAGTTAAAGTTTGCTAAACTCTCTCTCTCTGTGCTCTTTTTGGCACCATTACAATAATTAAATTATCCCACAAAACAATGAATGAGTAATGCTGGAAAGTATAACTTAGGTTTCCTTCATTGTACAGATAATTACACACCTATGATGAATATTGGTATTTTGTACAAGCAATCACTGTTTTTGTGATCTAGACTTGCCTGTATAATATCAAGAAGTTTAATTTTTTTTTTTTTCAAGGACACGGTCAGTTCAGTTGCATGCATAAGGAAAACTTTTAACTTCAAGAAGAAAGTTTATTCATAGGCATAAACAAGTTGAACACGTTAAAGTAAGTTCAGCTTGTTTGTGCCTTTTCTGGCATATACTTCTTTTGTGAGCTCAGCTCATTTATGACCACCAAAGGTTTAATTAATAATCCAGACAACCTAGCAAAATTAGCCAGTTTTCAGCACTGTTCTTTTGATGAATTTAAAATCTTTAATTTACCCTTAGTTTAAATCTGAATCTCAGTGATTTAAAATAATCAACTCAGTGATTCATCTTTATGTTTCATATTTTATATTATCATATATTTGGTGTTTCCATCAAATTGTAGAGCTTCATTTTATGGTTTTTCATGCACTTTCTTCAGAGGGAATAATTCCTCGCCCCTGAAGAAATTTTATGGAAGATGTTTTATCATTAGGTAAAGTCTTAAATTTTCAAATCCATGGTAAATACAAGAATAATAAAAACATAAGTGACACTTATATCTCTAAGAATTTGTATTCTTGTTGCCGATTCTGAAATGCAATCTTTTACTTTTTTAAAAACGTAAACATTGAAACGATATCAAAAGGAAACAGTGACAACTTCATATGAACCAGTTTCTTGGCAAGTTTAGCAAAAAATTTGGTGACAAATCTGGTCCCAATAACAGAACAGTACCTCAAGATGAATAATAAGGTAGATACATTGCCTGCCAATCTCACATACATGTTTTCAAAACTAAATCTTATTCCTTCTTTCAAGTAATCAGATATTATTTTCATAGAAATCATAAGAAATAGTTTAATATAATTAAAGGAATTTTAAAGTATTTCCCCATAAAATAACCTGTATAAAACAGAAATTTTATCATATCATTAACATTTCTTTCATAACCAATATATTTAGATACATACACTAATTCTGTAGTTCCAATCAGTCCTAACCTGACTGCAAATTAGTTGCTTCATCTTTAAAAATGCAGCATCATCAATATTTTCTCCTATGTGTGACTTCAACAATTGATGTTTACGAGTTTTAAGAATATGTTCAACTTCAAATTCAGTTGCTGGAAGACCATTTCCTGAAATAAGTTTCACAAAGTAAAATATTTTTTATATGTTTAAATATTTTTCCATCACATAAAAAATGATAAATATCTGAGTTCTTGAAAATAATAATCACATGTAGACATTCAAGATATACATAATGCACTGGACATGTTTTATTGGTCTCCACAAATAATTCTGCTAAAAAGCTAACTTCTTTTATTTTTTTAAATTCAAAGGATAAAATAAAGCCTAAATGCAGTCACATTATTAACAAATACATTGAAAAATACACATTTAAACAAATAAAAAATAAATTACACAAAATTTAAAACAACTTGTTGAACTGAGCTGAATTTCAAAAACAAGAATTTTTTTCCCTTCGTAATTCCTCTTCTTTTTAATTCTATGAGTTTTAAAAACAAAAACTTCATAAAAAGAGAAAACTTCATAAAAAAAAATTTTTTTTTTGGGGGGGGGGTCCAGAATATTTAAATTAGTGTAATCAGCATAAGTCTGAGATTGATTAATAGCTGCCACCTTGATAAGATTTTCAAATCACTTCTTCCTAGAGTTTTTCTTATGCGTTCAAATATAGATTTAAAAATAACCAAACCTGCATGTCTTTTTCTTGATATGGTGTATGTGAATGAAATGAAATATTTCTTTTTGCTTCAATGCTACATGAATTTATGTAGAAAACTGTTTAAATAATTCATTTTATAAAAGAAAAGCCATGAATTTTTTATCTCAATGAGTGAGAAATGCTTTTATAAACTAGGAATCAATGAAAATTCAGCATTACATATTGTAACTTCTTTCTAAAAAACTGAAAACTCATTAATTTTTCCTTGGTGAATAAATTAACTTATAAGTTTATATCACTGAAAATATGGATCTAGACAGATAACTTGATTTTCTAAACTTATGAAACTGCAGAGAACACTCAAGATCTTATTAAAAATTTCCTTTGGATTTAGATGATTAACTTACAACAAAGATTAAGAATATTCCTCCCATGTTTAAAAATCTGTTTCATTGTTTCCTATTGCTTCTCTGATATGGCTGACAGTAGTTAAAACATACAGATGAAAAAATAGCATTTTGAAATATGAGAAAAAAATTCTGAATGATGCATTCTACTTATTTTGTGTGTAGGGTTGAGGTGGCAAAAATTTATTAGACAGACACAACAAAACATAGAACATATTGAAACAGCATGTATTAGCTAATTTTCAACATAAGGACATTTCTAACAATATAACATCATTTCAGTATACTTTGTTCATAAAAATCCATTCAACAGTAGAATTACATGCAGAAAATTGATTTAATTGAAATGAAGAATTCTTCAACTGAAAAAATTAAAATCACTATTGTTCAAGTAACCATCACCACATGTTTCTTTATCACTCTACTTTTATTAAGTCCATAAAGGAGTTCACATAGAAATAACAGTAAATGAGATACTACATAACTCCCATTTATTTATATAAACTAGTGATTTCTAATATTTAGTCCATAAAAATCAATTATAGATTATTTTCACTTATAAATAACAATAAATGTGACATTTTAGCATTACAGGTCATATTTTTCTTAGCCTTCTTCAAGATGATCTAATTAAATCAATCAGTTTATACTATAATAATAAGATCAGTAATCTGCTATTTGTATAGTGGTCATGGTTCTGGAATGATCATGCTATGGAAACACAACAATTTATTTTTAAAAGTCAAAATATTTTTTATTTATTTATTATTTTATTTTTTTTTTTTTTTTTTAGGTATGCTCAATGTTTGCAAACATCATGAAATTTCACATACCCTGAGATACTGCAAACACATACATTAATTATGCCAAGGGAGCATTTTTACAGAGACTAATTTCGCATTCAAGCAAACACTCAAGTTTCTGAGCAGTTTTCTAGTTCTTCATGCCTTTTAATAATGCAATTGGATTTACACTCATTTATCGAAATTCTCCATAAAGCACAGCATTGTTCCAAGGAAGGTGATTTTCTCTTGTCTCAGCAAATTTTTTTATTTCTAGTGTATAAATATAAATCTAATTGATACCAGTTTTAAATACATAATTAATAATTACATTCTATAGCTGGCATCCTATTACTTGCAAATCAAAATAGGTAAAAACTGATGTGCATTTTCATCTTTACCTCGTAAATTTTCTAGAGTAGCGGCCAATATTTGGCTTTTTAATAAAATTGCATGGTACTTCTCAATTCAGGTTATAAAGTACTGTTTGCCTTACATTTCACAGTACTAGTTTTTATTATGTTCAAGAAGTTCATAACTTCTTGAACATAATACAAATTAGTACTGTGAAATGAATTTTAAATACAGAACAAAAGAACACAGTATAAGATCCAAAAAGTAAGTCTATAGTTAAGTCTAAGATCCAAAACTATCAGGATTTCAATGATTTTAGGTATTTGGAAATTTCCAGACTTTAGATTGTCAGTTTAAATTTAGTAAAATGACATGTAGAAATCATAATTAAAAATATGAAATAAATGTTTATGAAATAATGAAGCATCTATGACTTAGGAGGAGCAAAAATTTACAAAAAAAGGCATAATACTTCTTATAGTACCTTCTATTTAATTTTATAGATGGACATAATTTCTAATTCAGTTAGAAAGTCTGTAATTACAGTGTCAAAACTTTCCACTAAACTATCAATCAAACTCTTTTTCATTCTCAACAATCTCTTCATTACTTTCTTCACTATCTGAAGTTCTAGATTTAAAACCACACTACAGATTTTGCCGTCCATTACCTAATTTATGATCAATCATAATGAAAAACTTTTGCCTAATCCTTATGACTTTTTAAACTTCTCCCCATTTCTTCACAAATTCTGTTTAATACAAAATTTTGCATTTTTCTTGTGATACTTGGAAATCTTTAAATTGGTGCTATCATCATCACTAGGAAATATGCTACCTGGCTATAAATTAGCTGGTTATAAGAGAAATTGGTATGTTCTCACCTTGATGACAAAAGAGAGTTTACTGATACTTGCTTGTGTCCATGACTTATGTGCTATCAGGTAGCAAAAATTTTCTCTTTTAAAATATAACAATTTTTCATTGTTAAATATTAGAGATATTGTTGTCAAATACTCAGTTAAAATGTGCATTTCTGACTTTGTAAAACAAGCAGTTTTACAAAGTCACGAAGAGAAACAAATGATTACCAGTTTCCTATGGTAACCATTCGTCCCGAATTTTCAAAGGCAGCCACAGATTCTAGCTCTGCGTCCTACACGGATGCAAGTCCTGAAATTCACAATTTATTTAAAGATTCTTCAAAAATAATTTAGTTTCTATGGTATTTCTACATATGAAATGTAGTATTTTTGCATGGATTGCATCAGCAGCACTCAGGTATATAGTGATATGCCACATGAAGCATTTTTATACATGGGAAGTGGCATATCGGCAGTGGCGTTGCCAATATGTCAACATACCCTAGTTGTGACGTTTTTATTTCCATATTTTTCTTCAATCGATAAGAGTCCGATAGTTTAAAAAGTTTCTTTTTATGAAGAAGCCGATCTTTGGGTTCCAATCCTTCAAACACAAGCATCAGTGTTGATACAGTATAATGAACGGATGGAGAGGGGAAAAAAAAAAAAAAAAAAAAAAAAAAATTGGCAAAATTTTGAAAGACATCTTTTTTTTTCCCTTTAATTTAAAAGAAAAATCCGATTCTACACTTCTACCGCCAAGTTTAAACACTATTTTAAACAATATAACTGAAAATGGAAATATAGACCAAAAATGGTTTATTTATCAAATTAAAAATTTTTATATGAATATTCTTCTCTAGAATTACAGGGCAAATGATTTGAAGAAATTACTCATTTTAAATGGATTCATTTAAAATGTCAAACAGATTAGACTAAAGTAGAAGAAACAGTTTTCACATATTCATTTTCACCTGAAAACAAATATATGACAGTGAAAAATGAATTATTTGATGAAATATTATATTTGAAAAGGTCTGTAAATTACGTCAAATTCTTTTTTTTTTTTATTTCTGCAGACAAATGTTCCCATAACCTTTCAATGTTCCATTCAAAAGGTTTTATGTTAAAATATTTCAAAAATTCTCAAATGGTATTCCCACTTATAAGAACTTTTATATCTGTATTTCAGCATGGTGAAATTGGCCAATGAATGTGCAGTTTTGAAGAAAGAATAAGATGAAGACATTTAGTAAAATGAGTAAAATTACCCTTTACTACTTTTTATAAAACAAAGTATGTACTGAAAAGCTGTCTTAGATATGGGTAATTTTTACATCATTCAGTAACATCTAGTTTCAAATGCTGCTGAACCTGGGGTATGAAATGATTTTCAAATCAATCACTCATTAATGTTTGTGCCATCCATGCTCTTTTAATTAAGTGCTAGTGTAATGGTGGAAAACATTTACTCCTTTAATTGTCCGAGGTTGTGCATTTTTTCTGATTACAAAAAGATTACATTTGTTTGTTCCTACAGCATCTGTTCATATGCCAAAATCGTGAGTCTCATTTTGGAATCTATAACAACAGTTGTGGCTTTTTCTCCATAGGTAGCCAAGGTATTTAGGGAAACATTGTCCCCCCCCCCCAAAAAAAAAAAAAAAAAAAACAGTTTTGTCAGGGTTATAAATTTGCTCTGGAGATAACTTCTCATTATTAATGAGCAAAATGAATTCATCTGCAAACTGTTCACCTGCTCCAATACCAGCAAAAATTCCTTCATGAGAAATTATCAACAGCTATATATTATATCGATTTTTAAATTTGATAAATCAACTTGTCATATATATACACTTAAGTTTCTAAGACTATTTTCTTGTGAAATATTTAACTTGAGTCATTAGAATTAGGCTCATGGCATGCCCTCACTGTGATGCTGTCATACCATTCAATCATTACTTTGTAATGACTGTCACGTTTAGCATAATATGTGACTTTTCTGTTATCCATTGCAAGTGACATGTCAGAATCTACAAAAAACTTTGAAGTTCCTTTTTCTATTTTTTATATCACATACTGTTGACTTTTCAATGTCATACACCTTATATAATTTTCAGACAAATAAGCTTTTACCCCTTTTTTTGCCATAATTTTAAACTTTTAGCTTCACTGAAATCAAAACATGCTTTCACTTTGCAGATTCTGATGCAGCTCCAGACATAAAAACTCTTTTCGACATAATTGAAGATTAAAACTTTAATTTTGATAAGACAGCTGTAATAATAGGAGCATGAAAAAAATAAAAAGCTAGATTAAATTAGAAAATTAAGGAGTACAATTTATTATATTAACTGAACTTTAGTTCTTCAGTATTTAATTCTTTCTCCTTGCCTTACTGCTTAATATTCGACTGCAAACAAGTATGTTTTAGGGTTTCACTTATTGTTTCAGAAAAATGAGAGAAAAATGCTATTTGCCCCCAAACCACTCAGTCAAAAATGTGATCAGTAGCCTATGTCAACGCAATATCAATCAATGTATTGTCATTGTCCACAGTGTGATTCTCTAGCCAATAGGTATCTGAAAAGTGGCATGCAAGCACTCAATTGCTCAGAAACAAAATCTCTTTTATCTTTAACAAAATCTCTGTTTTTTCTGGAATATTATATTCTTTATTCCTAGACTCTGAAAGAAAAAAATTGGACTTTGTACCATAATTATTTAAATATATATTTACCACAATTACATTTTTTATTTTGTACTTCATATTGGAATATTATAACATTATGGAGTAACAAATGAAAATTCATAAAAAAATAATAATTAACTAACCATAAGAAAAGCGTTTTAAGGAAACCACTTCTGGCATATTATGTTTCTTACACACATAATAAGGAGGATCCCAAGGTTCAGTTTGTGCTTCACTTTCTCTATAATCCGTTTGGGTTTCAACAGAAATAAACTTTGCAGATTCCTGTCCGTCAGAGACATCTGTACTAACATCCTCTTCCTCCTCGGATAATTTAAAAATAATATCACCTGCTTTCACAGTACTGTCAAGTGGTCTAAAATTATTTGGAAAAATATTAATACATTTAAAAGAAACAAATACACATATCAGAAAATAATGTTATTGCGTATTAGCAGCCGTTTATTATTTCATTCATTCTTATCATTTTGTATGAAAGTTTGAATGTATCATATGTTTTATTTTATGCTGAACAAAATAAGCATAAATAATTTTATTTTTCATTGTACCTCCCTTATAAAACATTTATTGCAGAATTTATAATTTTTTTCACAAAAATTTCTTTATAGTCCTTTTTTTCCCAGCAAATATTTATTAATTTATCAGTAAACACCACAATTTACTGATGAAAAGATATTAAATTTATTAATATTTGTTTAAGTTGCATAATATCATTTTTCTCAAGTACTAAATAGCTAAATATTAAACCTACATCAAGAAACAAAGTTCAAGAAATTAACATAACTTTGAATGTGGCAATTTGTAGGTGTTAGCAATCTTGAAAAGAATACCATTTCTCTCTTATAATTAAACAAAAAAAAAAAAAAAAAAAAAAAAACTGAAAGCTTTCAGATTTTATATTATGCTCAAAAGGTTTTTTTTTGGGGGGGGGCCTTTCCCCTACACACACATACACGTTTCAAGAGCATTTGGTTTCATGCCCATTTGGGCTAAAAATATTTAAAATCAGCATATCTTTAGAATTTTCAATATACAGTCTCACACTGGAGATAAAAATGTCTTATTCTGTACAGTGTTGCCACTGCTTGCTTTGAAATCATTGAGTTTTTTTAACACACAATTTGTTAAAGTTTTATAAAATATAAAATAGATAGTAAAAACAAATTCAAAGTTCAGGCTTCCAGATGCCCATATTCGGTTGGAGGACTATGTTATTAAAAATCTGATGGCTCTAATGGTACTGTTGTTTTTTTCCACAGTGGGTGAAACATACATACATTCATGCAGATTCTTCATAATTTAACTTCTTTACATATAATACAAGATGATAATAGTTGGGGGCAAAAATTTTAAAAGTGATTGAACACTTTTAATGATTTGACACGAAAAGCCGTTTCAAGACTAATAGCTCTTTGCCTCTTTGGGCTAAAAAACTTCTATTAATATTTTTTTTTAGCAAAAAGACACAGTGCATAAATACATGCATTTATTGCTCTTTCGAATACAATGATAAACAGCTTAAAAACTGAAAATTTGGAGATGCATAATTATTATTGAGTGGAGAAATATGTATGACAAATACAAAGTGGGGCAAAAATATCTCCATATTTTCAAGTATTATTAAAACATAAAGTGTGAGAGATAAATATGATATTACATAATTAAATTCACAATAGAATTACATTTACATTTTTTCAGATCATTCCCACACTCTGCACAGATGCATTAAACTATACTATTTTTCACGGTTCAGTGGAAAGTGCCATACCATGCTTATGTAGTGAAAGATTACTCCAAGAATAGTGAGCAATTTATGTAAACATAGCATAATTTTTTAAAAGAGTTTTGGTTAGTGATGTAATATGTAATCTATCATTTTTAATTTGCAATTAATTTCTCAGATTCTGTAACTAAAATGTTATTATTTTTAGCTATGAAAAAAATATAAATAATTAATAATACATGAAAATGATTCTATGAATTAGTTTAATAGCCCAATGAATTTCAATTTCAATAGCTTCATAAAATAAAAAACCAATAATGATGAATTATGCTATTTACTGTTTTTAGTTAGATTATTGCTCCCACACTATCTCATGGAAGTGGTGATAAAAAATATGATTATTTTTTACCCAAGCTGCATGACATCTGTAGGAATTTAAATTTAATAAGTTATTAAAGTAAAGTAATCATTTATATATTCTTAATTATGTGTATTATTTTTATATTTAAAAATAGTGTCCGAGTGGTGCAGCCTATGAAATAAAAAATAACTACCGAGTTTTGCCATCTTATGACACAGATGTTTTTCAAGCTGCAAGACCATCAAGTTACAGATTAAATCTTTCCAAACCATGGCTGCAGCATTGAATGAGAAACTGGTAGGATGACCATGAACAATGCAATCACTACAAAACACTAAAACAGTGTGCCAGAACTAGTGAAAAGTCCACAATGATTGACATGAAAATAAGCTGAGGATCTTAATTATCATCAATATAAAATGCATATTGCACTAAAGCTGAAACAAAAGCTGGAAATCAGAAATCATCTAATATTTACTGAAAAATTATTTTTTGATGTCCTATGGTAAAATATGTTACTGCACATAGTATCTGATGATGAAATTTTCATGTTTCTGGGTGTGCTGAGAAAAAAAAACTTTTGATATAGAGGGAAGAGAAATCTACAATTCCATAAACATCCATTTCATAGCAAATGGAGAAGCACTGTAATAAATTTAGAATTATAAGATGTTACTTATTTGAAATTAATACTTGCAGTGATAGTAATGTTATCAGGTTCAATGTTTCTTCTAACCTTCTTCGGAAACATACAATGACCTGACTAGAACAGAGAGCTTACTAAAGCTATGTTCACTAATTGTAGTAAGTAGACAGGATACAGACGAAGGGTATACAAAACCCTTTATTTTTTTCTTTATATACAATGACTTCCGTACTTCGGAATACAATGACCCTCCACTCGGGGTCTAACTTAAAAGATATCAAAATAAAACTAAACTCTAATTTAACTTTAGAATAAGATTGGCCTTATAATAACAGGAAGCGTATGTAGCACAGAGACTGTGAACACTACAATACGTTTAATTTATCAAGAGGATTAAAACCTCTGGCCTGGAAGGCAAAGTAGCAACTGCGTAACTTCTAAGGTAAGCGGCCTGCTTCGAACTCACGGCTTCCTCTCTTCTGCTTGGCAAAAAGGCCACAACTTAAATACTTGGCGTTCGCCAGACAAACTTTGCATAAACTCCTTCACGCTTATAATTCTGGCCGGAAGTAGAAAAATAAGAAGTGATAGTAAAGATTTAAAATAAAATAAACGTTAGTAAAACTTAAGATCCTTACATACTTCCCGCCAGAGTTAATTAGTTTGAAACTGAGGTCTAAAACGACCTTGTTGAAAACTTTTAGCTCTAGAAACTAACGCAAGGCCAACCTTTTACAAACATAACTTAGCTAGAAACTAAAAAATTTTAAAAGAAAGAAATTTGTTACAATAGCAGCTCCCGGAATATACAAAAATCTTTTTTCTTTTCATCTGTACTGCATCTAAACAGGAGCTTATTCAATTCTGGTTCCTTCCAGAGATCTGGAAGGAAAACTAGTTTAATGAAATGTTACAGAATGACATTGCAAATAACATATAGAATATACTTTTTCTTAACATTCTTATTTCATTCATGACTATTTTAATTATCTCTCCCCGTGCTCTCTGACATGTGTTGTAAAAAAAAAACACCAAACACGAGTGTGTTTCTGTCTACGTGTTCAACACTTCCTCCTACAATCAAAACACACTAACGTGTTAAAATTCAACATAACGAGACCTCTTAACACACCCTAATTTCAACTCTAGACCCTGAGGTACTATTCTGAAAGTGGCTAACTCTAAAGTGTAGCGTCAGAGAGCCTAACTAACTACATCATTCAACCTTTAACACATATTCACCATGATTTAATCTTTTTACAGTCACACGAATAACAAAATTTTAACATTACTTTCACTTTTACCATATCACGGTATTTCTTAACATTTAAAATAACAGTTCACATTGTATATAAGAACATATCAACATGCCGTTAATTTTACACATTTGAAAACATACATTAGTAGTACATTGTTAACTTCTATTCTTTTCAAAGCAAGTGCCAATTCTTTCTACATTGAAATAATACTACATTTCAAAAGTCTTTCAGACTAAAACTTCTTTCTTGCCAGAATGTTTTAAATAAAATTTATACAATAACTTTTACAATATTTAAGTCTTTATACAAGTATCGCTATTATACATCAACTTTAGTTTTACGCGCGAGTAATTGAAAAACATAATAAGAAAATCGGTCAACAACTCATTTCTCGCCCTTTTGGCGATAAAGGTAGACCTCGCATGAGGTAAAACTTCTTGAAATCTGCCACTTGCAGTAAGAATGAAAGATTAACTTAAGTTTGTAAAGTAACATAAAATTTTACTTATCTTTGTGATATTCGGACATCCTTTTCTGGGCCCAGTCTTTAAAGGTAGCTGCAGATTCCGTAGCTTTGGTTGATCCTCCTTCTTGTATGGGCTCGCCCTTCAGTGCTTTCCTCTGGAAGCTTCCTTCTTTTTTCACCAGTACGGCCACCCTTGAACATCTTCCTTTTGTGCCTCTGCTGTGGTCTTGGCCGTTTGATGGCAGCTGGTCTTGGCGGAACCGGGAAACTTCTGTCGTGATTCCTGCTTGGACCTCGTTGTTGGCCGTTCAAATTTTTCTTGTACTTTTCCTCCGCCGCTGATGGCCCTTCCGCAGTTCGGCGACTTTTGCTGCGGAGAGTTCCTGTCGGATGAGTCAGATCTTCCGTTTCACAGCCGGGTTATAGTTGCCGTCATTTCTCCTGGCTCTTTTCCACATACGTCGTACCCTTCTCCCTTCTTCATTCTGGGGGTGTCGTGAACTCTCTTTTCTGGACGGTGGAACGGCTTCTTTTTCTTTGTACCTTCAATTTTTTCCGCGGGGGAATTTTCTTTTCACTTGCTCTGTCTCTCAATGGCTTGCCCTTGTACTTGTCGTTTTCCCACCTCTGGAGCTTGTGCCTGCGGTGTCTGCCGTGCCGGATCCTGCAAAAGATCTGAAAAGATTTGCATTTTATTACGATCAAGTAGGGCTTGATTTGATCCATATTTGCGGAACAGGTTTCACCATTTCTTGCCTTTTAACACTACAACAGCGTGAGTTATTTTTTCTATGACATATGGTCCTTCAAATCGTGGAAAAAAATTTGGCAGTTTTATCTTCTGGTGCTGAAGAAAGTGAATGCTTAATTTTTAATACTTCATCCCCTACTTTATAAGTT